CTTCAGCCCAATCAGATGAACATATATCATATAAATCAACAGAACCTACAGAGCGGCTTATTCACAATTAGTTTGGCTACAGCAGAATGTTTTCCATGGCCCGCATTGTTTGCTCAAACAAAACGCAAAAGTTCGTAAAAGGCACATTTCCAATTGTGTTATGGGTCTTACCTTAGTTATTAATGAACAGCACAGACCACTTCAGTTCAGACCAGTTTCATGTTTAAGTCCAGATAATAGTTTGAGCGCAGATATGTAATCCCCCATTTGGAAATAAGCCCAAAGAGTTTTAAAGCGTAAAACAAAATGGGTGCAACCTCCATAAACTCCTGTGTTTTCGCTGCAGCCGACTCTCGGGCGCATCCAATTTCTAATATCAACCTTCTTACCCTTCTCCTCTCTTCCTTATCATTCCTATCGTCATTGGAAGCAGAACATTACCCTAAATGCATTTTATATGATTTTAAAATGTGTAAACGCCCGCGACGTGTGGAGAGGCCTAAAGAACATCTCCGGCTTTGGACAGAGTGCCAGAGGAACAGCAGATGGAGACCAGCACCGGGCGGACGAATTTAACCAGCACTTCAACCGGTTTGATTCTCCCCCCTCTCCATCTGCCCCCCCTCCCGCCCCCACCTCTTCACACGTCCCCAGCCCAGTGGACACCGCCCAGTGGACACTGCCTCCGGCTGCCCCGGGCCCTCCTGCCCCCGCATCCCCAGCCCCCACCTCGGACAGTACATCCCAGTCCCCCCCCTTCTCCATCACACCGGACCAGGTGAGGAGTCAGCTCCAGCGCCTGAAGCTGAGGAAATCCGCAGGACCGGACGGGATCAGTCCCAGGCTGCTGAGGACCTGTGCAGACCAGCTCTCTGGGGTCCTCAGCTACATGTACAACCTGAGCCTCAGCCTGGAGAAGGTCCCTGTCCTGTGGAAGACCTCCTGTGTGATCCCGGTTCCAAAAACAGCACACGCCAAGGAACCGGCTCACTACAGACCAGTCGCACTGACCTCCCACTGACCTCCCACCTGATGAAGACAATGGAGCGGCTCATCCTCACCCATCTCCGCTCCGTGGTCAGCCCCACCCTGGACCCGCTGCAGTTCGCCTACAGACCCAACATCGGAGTAGAGGACGCCGTCATCTACTTCCTGCAGCGGACGCTCTCCCACCTGGAGCCCGCCGGGAGCGCTGTGAGGGTCATGTTTTTCGACTTCTCCAGCGCTTTCAATACCATCAGGCCGGCACTGCTGCAGGGGAAGATGGAGGACGCGGGAGTGGACAGTAGCCTCACTGCATGGACCATCAACTACCTCTCAGACCGACCACAGTACGTGCGGCTGCGCAGCTGTGAGTCTGAGGTGGTAGTCTGCAGCACTGGGGCCCCTCAGGGCACTGTCCTCTCACCGTTTCTCTTCACCATCTACACCTCAGACTTCACACACGACGCACACAGCTGTCACCTGCAGAAGTTCTCCGACGACTCCGCCATCGTGGGCTGTGTGTCTGAGGGGAACGAACTGGAATATCGGTCGGTTATCAAGGACTTTGTCGACTGGTGTGAGCGCAACCACTTGTGCTTGAACACCTGTAAGACCAAGGAGATGGTCATCAACTTCAGGAGAAAACCACTTTCCCACACGCTGCTGAACATCCAGGGGGAGGACATTGAGCTGGTGGACAGCTTCAAGTACCTGGGTGTTCACATTAACAATAAACTGGACTGGTCCCATAATACAAACGCCCTGCACAAGAAGGGCCAAAGTCGCCTCTTCCGTCTGAGGAGGCTGAGGTCCTTCGGAGTGAGCAGGCCTCTGCTCAGGACTTTTTATGACTCTGTGGTAGCTTCTGCCATTTACTACGCTGCCGTGTGCTGGGCCCCGGGCAGCACAGAGCGGGACAGAAACAGACTGAACAAGCTGGTCAGGAGGGCCAGCTCCACTCTGGGCTGCTCCCTGGACTCTGTGGAGGAGGTGAGGGACAGGAGGGTGCTAGTCAAAGCCACCTCCATCATGGACAACACCTCCCACCCACTGCACAGGACTGTAGAGGAGCTGAGGAGCTCCTTCAGTGGAAGACTGAGGCACCCTCAGTGTAGGAAGGAGCGCTACCGCAGGGCCTTTATCCCCACCGCTGTCAGACTGTACAATAGGTCACTTTAAATGATCACTGTGTGAAAACCTGCACTACTATTGACACTGTTTCCAATTGACACTTGTCACTTTTGTTGTACATAATTATTGTCACTTTATTGTACATATATCCTGCATGTAACATGTTTGCACATTTCCTCCCTTTGCACAATCTGAGTGTCTCTATCCATGCCAAATGTGACATGTAAATTTCTCCTCTGTGAGATAAATAAAGCAATCTTATCTTATCGTAATATGTATGTTAGCCAAACCTGTTGCTGCCCTTAGCAGATAGAAAAAAAGAAAGGAGCTTTCTGATAGAATTGGACGTAATCAAATTCTGGGCTCACATGTGCCCCGTACCCTGAGGCTGGCCTCATTACAAGTCGTGGTTTAGCGCGATTAAGACCCATATTTGTTGTCAAAAACACAATTTATGAGCCATTCTCTCAGCTGTAGACATGTTGATTGTAAATGAAATATGTTTGAACTTTGAACAACAATAAACGTGCTCTATAATAGGAGCGCACTGTATTTTTTTTTAAACTTTCATTTCCCGTTTCCCGTCATAACATTTCCCGGGAATCGGGAAATAGTTTTGATCAGATTTCCCGGGAATCCCGTGTCCCGGGAATAAACCCTAGTACACACATCCACATAACAACTGTCAAACTGTCTAAAATGACCTTCTGCTTGTTACTGTGATCACAATTTTAGTAAATTGTGTGCAAAAAATATATAAATCATGTATGAAGACATGATTCTTATTATATGCCATCCTACTGTCAGAATATAATAACACAGATCCAGAAATCGGTCCTTTGGAAGTATAAAACCCAGATGTCATTTCCCTCCATTCTTGTGATCCTGAAAAATATTATCTTTGAGCGTTCTACTTCCATTCTTCATTTTATATCAGGAATGTCATGACACTCTCAACATCTACTCATTGCCCTTTGAATTATTCGCTTGATCTCTCACCCCTCTTACATGCAGGGAGTTAATTACGCTGCAGCCCGGGTAATAAAGAAGATAGATGACACTGGGTGTACATAGGCGACCTGACAACATGTGAAGGCTGCTAAGGTCAGACCACTGCAATTGATGAAACTGTCGAGCCATCGTGGTGAAAAACCCACTTCAGAGAATTGACTTCAGACTGATAAGAAAGACGTCACTTGCCGCTATTACTATTTTAGAAGCATCTTTTTGGGAATTCATGACATGTATTGGCTTCCGGTAAAATCTAGCTGGAAGTCGATGAAATTAATCAGCAAGTCGGCCTCATCAACAAGTTTGCATTTTCTTAATTTAGCTAAACATATCCTTAAAGTATAGCTCCAAGCCATGTATTGTACGTTAATAACACCATAAGAAGAAGTACTACAAATGATGTCCACTCCTCTGTGTTTGAAATTAAAATGTATGGAAGCCCGTTTCCGCCATGTAAAAAAAAAGAAAATGCCTACAGAAACTCATAATTATTAGTTTAAAACTCGAAATTTTTAGTTTAAAAGTTGGAATTATGAGTTTAAAACTCAAAATTTAGTTTTGAACTACGCATGTGCAGTTGCTGCCCGGTATGTGTTGTTGTCTGGAACGGTGTCTGGACATCCTTTACCTGCAAGTTATATTGAAGATATTTCCTACAGACAATGACCACTGCATCCATGAAGTAGCAGCAATAATGAAATGACCAAACGCGGCTGTTATAAAAAAGCTACTGCACGGATTGCCTCAACCAAGGTCTCATTGTTTCGCTAAGAAGAAGAGGAACACAAGGATGGGATTTGTTTAGGGCCAAATTCACTGTTGTTTTAGCAAAATGGGGAGGAGCAACTTGTTATGTCTTTAAAGACGTTTTTTTCGCTAAAGAAAGACCCACATTTCTGGATTATATCTCCATACTGGACTATATTTCGGAAAAAAACAAATGGATATTGCTTTTGCATGGACATTTACGGATTTAATGAGCCCCAGCAAGCATGGATTACTTCAATATTATAGACACCGCACTAGTCCAAAGGTAAGAGAAGCGATGAGAATTCTTTGTTTTATATCTTTTTAGCGTAAAGTCTGGTATCGCTTGCACTTGTATATTAATGTAGATGAGAAAACAATATTTAAAATGATATAAAGCTTGTGGGGTTTGAAGACCAAAATAAATGTGAAAACAGTGTTAAACTGAGCTGGTCCTTATAAAAGATGCAAAGGAAGTCAGAACTTTTTCACTTGATTTTGTGGTTATCTGAAGCAAACTTCTCCACTGGCGATGTGGCAGACGCTGAGTAAGTGAGTAATTTTTATTTGTATAGCACCTTTCACAGACCAGAGTCACGAAGCCGTACAGGAGGTGCGTGCCAGACCTATTGAACATGCTGAGGGAAGCTTCCGGAATTTGGCTTGGTATAAAAGCATTTGAACGCAGTGAAAACTCTGGTTGTGCGCATTTATGCTGCACAACAACAATAAAACATGTAATCTGCTGTGACTCAATCCCAGACCACTTTTTCTTTCTTCAGTCTTTAGGATAATACGTGAAAATGACCCCCCCTTCATCAATGTATGTTACCATAAAAATGTGTTAAGTAAATTCCAACATTGCACAGCCAAACCTGTGCTGAACTGTTTCCTCTACTGTGGCTGTTGATTATAAAGGATCCAATTATATTCAATCTTTCACTTTGGTATCACCTTCACAAAATGTAGAGATGGGGAGAATGCAACAGTCACACTTATATAATGGGCTTTTGAGTCAGCAGTAGTTCTGCTCGGTTAGTGCTGCTGATCTGTTTTAGGACCCACAAAGTACAATGCTTAAGGCCCACAGAAGGCCAGGGCCGGGTGCAGAGAATTGTTGAACTCACATGCAAACGTTAGGCTGGCCTCTCGGCTCACGATGGTCCCAAAGGAGTTTGTGGCGAGGCACTGGTAAGTCCCCGCGTCCTGGTCCCTGTTCAGGTGGCTGATTCGCAGATTCCCTCCAGAAAGACTGTAGTGAGATCCAGGTTTTATTTCTGTTGCATTCAGTTTCCACCTGGAAGAAAGGTATTTGAATTAGTGAAAGGGAAACTGATTGACATCAATTTAATGTAACGTATTGTGCGAGGGAAATAAACTGAGGGGCTTATCAATGTTCAAACCTCGATGTTGTAATTATGTCCTGTGTGATCAGTGTCTGATCCACAGGTGTCAAACACAGAGCCCCTGAAATGATTTTCAATTATTAATACAAACTTGCAGCAACAATAGTAGGAGGAACCCTGGGGTGTTATACCTCAATCTAAATCTGGTTGTATCAATAAAAAAAGATATTTGATAAAATTGTAATTACAGCTAGTAAAATACCTTTGATTCATTTTATTGTCAATTAAGAATCACTATCCATGATCCATCAGAAAATATCATCCAAACTCTTGCTCTGTAAAGGCAACCGCTTTGCCAAAATACCATCATGTAAAAGAATACCATAATGTAAACAAATAATGCAAAAAATAATATTATAAATATTGCTAATTGCTAAAGATGAGCTATTAAAAATAAAAAAAGTCTCCACACGCTGTATGAAATCTGTAAAAGGTGCTCCCTTTGGGACTGTGGCTTATTTCTGCAGCTACACACACAAAGACTGTACATAATAGCTACCTTACACATGCACACGCACACACACGCACACACACACACACACACACACACAAACACACACACACACACACTCACACATCCGATGGTCAGTGACAGTTCAAACTAATAAGGATGAATAATACTAATAATAATATTGTTTTTTAAATTTTAAGCTTCCAAATGCAACTTATCTTCTGAAATATCCGGCAGAAATAAACAAAAGTGAAAAAACGGTTATCCAAACAACATAAATTAACTCAGTTAAATTTATGAATGCATTAAATTTATTCATTCTGGTTTGCGCTCGGCGCCCCAAACACCCTCTGTATTGGCGCCTATAAGCAGAAGTTGCGGTGAAGATAACAGAAGTAGAGAGATGATGGTGAAACCAGACTGCCCCTGGCCAATCACACTCAGAGTGAGTCCAGTGAATCCATCCAAAGTATAGGTAGGAACAGGAGATAATAGCAGGTCTTACTCAGGACTATAGGAGTACATTCATTATAATCCAAAACCAGAACCATTTCATATTACAGAACAAAATAAAACTGACACAGCACAGACATGGAAACACTCTTTGTAAGAAACTGGTTTGTACTTCTTTTCTCCAGAAATGGAAGCTATAAAATATGGACGCAGGCCCTTTCATCGCTGTAATTGCTTAGACAGCCCCTCCATTGTATCTTCCAAGAAGATGGCTTAATTGCGTGACAGCTTGAAAACAGAATGTTGCAAAACAATTTCTCTGTCATTGATTTGATGGTTATTCCTTGTGTTGGAGATGAATTATAGGGTGGAGAGCAAGCCAGTGTTTGTAAGCCTCTTAAAGTGATAAAGAGATACACATTGTGCACAGTGTAGAAGTTATGAAGGAAATAGTTATATTGTTGGCCAACCAGATGTGCAATCTGTCTCCAGTTACAAATTGAAAGCTCTATGTCACACGGTGCCACTGGATTTCAATATCAGACTGCTGAGTGACAGATATTTTGAAATTATTGAAATGTGAGCACTCACTAACGACAGAGGAATTGGAAGTGACGGGTAAAGTGCATTAAGAACGGGGTAAACATGTCAGTCCACTGTGTTGTTGAAATTAAGATGGAATAGAAAGTGATTACAGCCAACACATGTACACATGATTATTTAATAATTGTGATTTATGCAGGCGAGTCGAGAAACAGCAGAACCATTTATTAGGCACATGCTTTATGCAATCACGTAACAGGCTGTGCACACAAAGGCTTAACAGAACACCATCTGCCTCCGATGCAACAACTGATACATATCCCAATTGTCTAAATACTACAAATAATTGCCAAAAAGGGCTGCAGCAGGTAGTCAACTATTCATTCTTGAATATAATGTCATAATCCTATCGTAACTGCTGTAATTATTAACTGGACTATCAGTGCCATGGGAACCAGGTCAGACTCTGAGGAGCACAGGGACTGACTTCCTGCTGGTGACCAGAGTCAGGACTAAACATGGGGAGGCTGCATTTCAGTTGAATCGGTTAATAATAATTCTGTTTAGACGTGCATACAACTGAAGCATTGTATCTTCACTAATATTAATGTACTGTGATTATTTATGACTTAAAATCCTTATGATTGTCCTTATCTATCGAGTTGCCTTGTGTATGAATAATACACAATACAAAAAGCAATACAAATAAACGTGCCTTGGCTAACCTTTCCTAGCCTTCTGACTCCAAAACACAAAACACAAATACCCAATTTCAGCCGCAGCAAAAGCAAGCATCATCGTGTCATTTATGTCAATGATTAAGCAAAATAAATAAACAATCGATGTCCACAATAGGAGCGGGAAGAAGTTATATACATTATTATTTCGCCCATACATAGTTTATATGTATGGGCGACATAATAATCGATCCTCCCTTTTCCAATCTTTTTGTGCTCCCTTATACAAAGCCCAACTATGGCGGAGCTATAAGCAGGCCAGTTTGCAGAAGTTAACTGTTGCCTATAATGACTCGATGAGGATGCTGCTGAAGATCCCCAGACACAGTAGTGAGAGTCAGATGTTTGCTGAGTGCAGGGTGCGCTCCTTTCCTGCTGCCCTACGTCACTGCTACTATCGGTTCATGTGTAGAGTGGTGAGGGTGCCTAATGCTGTTGTACAGTCACTGGTTTGTCCTTACATTAGCTCAGTCAGGTTCACTTCTTTGCTTTGGAGTCACTGGCGTGCTTCTCTGTATGTGTGACTTGCTCTAAATATGTGAATATGTGATTACTATGTGTACTTTAACTCCGATCTTTTTTAAACTTTTCTTTCATTATTCTTAGCTATGGATCCTGTGCTTGCATGTGAGTCCTTAATAAAGTCTAAATAAATAAATAACATATACATATGTATGGGCGAAAGGTTAAATCGTCACATTTGAGCACGTCCTGGGTTCTAAATGTTTGAATGATAAGTGAGCTAGAAAAGCTTGTTAAAAGCTGTTAAAGGATGTGTGTGTATATATATTTATAGTGTATTGTATTGTGTAGTATATATTTAAATACTGCAAAGTTATCCTTACATTTCTTTAACTACGCTTTTTTTGCTTTTCTAAATTGTAGTTACCAAATTTGTAGATTGACTCTTATGTTTTATGCTCCATATGGTTTCTCCTTTTCAATATTAAGAAGCCTTAATGTGTCATATCATGCTACTGTGTCTTCAGATATTGTCTGGCGAGCCTTTTGGAGTAATCCAATATTGTTTTGACCTGTTCAAAAAAATAAAAGGTCAACATTGGAGGAAAAGATAATTTAATGTTTGATTATCCATTACACTTTGATGACAAAGACTTTACATTGTTATTACAGACTGCAGAGTTGCATGTTTTTAACATTTTCAGCTGGGGTGCGACATTTGATTTTTATTTTTTAATTGAAAAATTGTGCCCTGGCGCAATAATTCTGTGGAACACTGCTCTACTCAGTCAAAACAAGTAAATTCTCCAATATAGATAAAAACACTCGTCTGGTCTTCTTCCAATACTTTGATAACCTTGCAAGTCATTAAATGTAAGACCCTTTTTTTTTTTTCAAACTGCAGCAGACAGTTGAGCATTAGTGAAGATGGATTTGTGATGTCAACATGAAGGATGTTGTTTTGGGAAAGGCCACAGAGGTGCATCACGTGGCTCACCTGTAGCTGAGTGGAGGGCTGGCCTGGGCTTCACAACTGAACACCACCTCCCGGTTCTTCTCCACAGTCTCCACCGGGTACACGATACTGCCGGGCTGCTTGGTGAACACCGGACTCTGCAGGACCCCCACATCTGCAAAGAACAGGAAGAACTATGGTTATGAAGATTACGTGGCAGAAGAATGTGGAGATGATTCATATAAACTGGATTTGGTTGTGATATTCAATTCCATTCAATGTATTCCTGTTTAGCCCTAAATCACAACAGTTATTTTCTCGGGGAACTTCACAAAACCGTTGAACCGTTGAACACAGATCAGACAATCAAACAGTTCAAACACAAGAAGTGCCATGATAACACAAGAAATGCAATTATAGGTCTGTATTGTAAAAAAAGAAAAATATCTTTGTGCTATATAGAGAATACTTAATGTGTTTCGATCTGAATACCGAATGTTCGTTTGTCTGGATTGTGAAAAGCACAAAACCAACTAACCAGTGTGAATAATAATGATGTGAGGAATGGGTTGGAGAGTGAGGAAGCTTATCGCAAATGCCTCAAAAACAACTTAATTTTATCTTGACTATTCATTTTAAGACATTTGACAAAAAAGCAATCACATTAGCGAATGCAGACGTTTTGCTTTTTGAAGTGCATTTTTCCCAATTCAAGACAGAAATTTCATCCAAAACAGGAGAGAGAACCAGCATGTATCTGAGCCTGACACCTCACCACAATCAACAAGACAGATTTTGCAGCAATTGTGTCTTGTACTGCTATTTAGGAGCTGGTAATGGTACCAACAGCCCGACAATGTCCGACAAGCGCCTGCTAAATTGTTCTCATTTGTTTTTGTCAGCAGGCTTTTCCTGTGGTGTTTATTTATTGCCTGTCAGAGTTGTGTGTCAAACATGCAGGACATGAGTTGAATTCCTCTTGGTTACAGCTGCCAAAGAACAAGTTTCAGTTTCGTCCTCAATGTCGTCACTATATTTATATAAATACAAAGCGTTGAGCAGACCTGGAAGAAATGAACCACAATGAAAATGGACAGAAGCGGCTCAGTGATGGCACATGTACGGACACAATTTATGCTTTTTTTCAGCAGGAGAATGTATTTTGATTAAATCCGGCTCACAGGCTATTCACGGAGAAACAACTGAATGGAAAATGGTTTAGGGATGCTCCTGATTGAAAAGACATCAGGACTGGGACGTCCTCATCTGAGGCCCTGTTTATACTGAGACGCTGCGCAGACGTTTCCAGGCTATTAACAGAAACGACCTGGCTCCTAATGCAAATTTCTCAGCGTTCACATGAGGTTGAAAAACGATGTAGTTTTAGCGCCCGGCCAGTAGTGGGCAGAGAAACTTTACAACACTCACACGACCCCCAGCCCCGTGTCCAGCCCCCCTCAGTGTACTCACTTCCTGTGCCAGACCCTCAGAACGCACCAACATCATTCTGCATTTTAACAGCAGCTGTGAACATGGAAACTGAACCTAGAGCTTTGCGTGGTCTCGTTTGGACGAACGAAGGTGTAGAATTATCCTCTGTCCCGCGCTGGAAGCCCACGTAGCTAGTTAGTGCGCGTGACGCCATTGTTGTTGATGTTTGTTCTCCGCTACTGCGCATGTCCAAATTTACGTGCGGGGAGCAGCGAGGAGGTGGGGGTCAGAGCAGAGGGGGATTTCACACCTTTTTCCCTCTCACGGGTGTGAAAGAGAGCCCCCGCTGTGCAGCGTATCTGAGTTGTCCCACTCTGCAGGCTGGATCTGAACACTTACGTTTTCACCCCCCTGGAACACAGTCTTCGTATGAACGGTTGGTAGCAACCGACATCCAACTATACCGTTTTACTGCCACATTGTCTCCGTGTAAACTCAGCCACACACAGGCAGAAGCTCACACTCAAGAAAGTAATGCGCGGTCTGGGCTCTGATAAAGTTCTTTGGACCAGCTTCGGATCAGGGTGGGCACTTTCCCGCCAGATTAGAGAACAGTTATAAAAAATAGTAAAGGATTTCATGAAAAAATTAGACCAAAAGATTCAGTCTTAATCCTAAATATTTTATTTTGAGGTGTGACTGAAAGTAAAACAACTAGATCTTGAAATGCAATATCAAGGGTTTCAAAAATGCAGCCTTATCAGTGGCCAAAAAAATATATATTTCAGTTATTATTTTCAACTTAATTTGATGAAAAGAGATTAAATTGGCTAACATGGTATGTGTCCTTGGGCAAGACACTTAACCCCACTTTGCCTGAAGCTCCCGCTGAAAGATCTCAGCTCCTGTGGACTCACCACCTGCAGGAGGATCAGTGAGGGGCTGGTGCTATGTGTACTGGGTGCAGCTCTGACTGACCTCTGGGTGCCCCCCCCCTTTTTAGTGCTATAGTTAGTATTTACTTATCTTGTATTTCTCACAACTGGTCTGTAACTTGTGATGCAATATTTAAGTTTTTCCACTGTGGGACGAATAAAGGATCTCTTTGTCTTAATCTTTATTTTTATTTTTAGGGCTACAACTAGAATTTCATTGCATGTATTCCATTATATATATATAGATAATTTACATTTACGTTATGTACAAAGCAGAGATGTCTGTACCAGACTGTAGTTTAATAGCTCATTTCAATTTCTAGTCCTAAGGTGGAGGGGTTAAAGAGCAAAACATACTGTGCAAGTCAATACACCACTAAAATGCATTATTTAGTCATCATATATACACCATATCCCCATAGGATCTGTAAGCATCTCTTATCACGTACCCTGCTCTCACATTGGAGGCACCATACGCCTACAGTATACATCACAATGAATTCACATATGAATCGATAATCTCAAAAAATCACAAATGCATCTCTGGTTATCTGGAAAACATGTTTTTGATTGTATTGCAAAGGAAGTGAGTGAATGCAAGCTCAGCAGGACCAAAATTATGTATCACCCAAGACCAGGGCCATCTCCATCCTCAACATGAGAAGTTGTCAGCATGTGCACTATGAATGGTGCACTTTGAAGCACAATGGAAGCTAAGTGGAAAATAAGGCATAACAACAGCCATGGAGCAGACGTGAATAATGTTGCTCTAATGGGCTCTATTTACTGCATTAGATCCTGTCTGTCACAATCAGCGAGCGCGCTTTGTAAGAGGATGTACCCACCATCAATCATACGTTATTTCAGTGAAGGTGAATTTATCCAAGTCATGAATAAGCAGATACGATAGTGGCCAAAAAATAGCTCATACTGTCTCTGTTGAAGATGGAGAAAGATTATACAGTACATATATTAACACAATTACTTAAACTTATATGGCAGATTAGATGGAAACATTTAAGATATTATGACCTAGTTTAAAACCGGGATTTAAAAATACATAAATAAATGTTACTTTCTTGTTAGACATGGGCTACAGATGTACACAATGCAGTAGTTATGTAATGATAAGTACAATTATGAGTCCATAAAGGCCTGAGCGCATGACTAATATTTGTTTGCAGTGGTGCCATACTCCGACCTTGAGTGATCCTTCTGTTGTTCAATAATAAAAGTAACATGACAAGATGAACAATACACTACAATTACAAGACTGCATGTGATAAGATGTTTAATGTTTTTTAATTGGAAGAAATGCTAACAATATTTGTCTAAAATACAAACTAAGGTGTATCTATTAATTTATCTTTAAATGAAAATACATTCTGTTGAGCGTGTCTTCTCAAAAGATTCATATAGTATGAATATGCTCTATATCAGTGCTCTGCAAAGAGAAGTGGGCCAACATTTGATTTCTAGTATGTTTTCACTAAAGTGTGGAACTCCCAGAAGACCAACCACCTGCAACAACAATGCAACAGCCTTCATGTGCATGAAACTAGAGAGCGACACCAGGTCAGTCCAGCAGAGAATACCCACACAGCTCTGGGAGAGCGCTGGTGTTATTGGGACAAAGCTCTAATGGGCCTAAAATAAGAGAGGGAGTAATGTTATCTGTGTGGATCTGCAGTGACTGCAGGTCTAATGAATGTGATACACTGTGGAGGATATATCAAATATTGAAGCTGATAATGTCACTGCTTACACTGTAAGCACTTTGTGTTTGAATGAGACCACACATAAACTCTATTCATGTATTATTTTTTGGTCATTTAAAGAGCCACCTAATGCTCATAGCATCAGTCCCTCATTGATCCTCTGCAGGTGGTGGGTCCACAGGAAGATGGCTTCGCCGTCAGCGGTGACACAGCCTTGGCTTCAGTGGGGGCTTCAGCCAATGTGGGGTTAAGTGTGTTGCCCACGGACACGACGACAGCAGACATAAGTGGGAGCAGTTGGAGTAGGTCTCATGGGGGGATCGAACCCGCAAGCTTCAGGCCCAAAGGCCAATGCTCTACCAACTGAGCCACTGCCGCCCCCTTTGGAAATGTGTTTATTAAAAATAAGCTGCATGACTTTAGTAAAACCAACGCACTGACCTGAAGCAGAAGTGGTAGGCGGGTTATTGATGGTAGATCAGTTTGAGCTAGCGGATTTTCATGAACTAACATAAAGTTCTTCAACAATGACTGCAGCTCTGCAGCGTGTGGGTCCCAAGATCCTCCAGAGACATGACCATCATTTTCCCACAAAGCTCTCTCCTTCTCGGCCCATGCCGGAGAGGCATGTGTGTCCGCACCATTGACTTTGCATGTAAACCAGCCGCACCTCTTGGTCTGGTAGGAACTGGGCTTTACAGCTAAGTTTACTTTCCCTGATGTTGCTGGGAAAGAGGAGCTAACACTGTTTGGCTCCTCTCCTCACCCATGGTGGATCTTTGTTTGGACCGCTCTGCATTGCTAGGTGTATGTGTTTGTCACAGGGTGTCTACCAATCATCTCTGTTATGTTAATATTCTCTGTTGGTCTGCAACAGTCACTCACAATGTGTTCTATAATGGAAAATAGCAGCGCCATGATCACTGCACTTAAACACAATGTCCCTTCTGCTAGTGAAAGAAATTAGTTGTTTAAATAGCGTGTTTTCCCAAAGAGATAAACAAGGGCAGCTGCTTCCTTGTCCGGAAACCCAAGGAGCCAGATTTATTCATGCTAGATTTTTGGATATGTTTGAGCACTTGGTGTGTAAA